ACTGGGGAATGGGCATGGCACAAATCTGGAAATGAAAAGGCAGCAGTGCAGGAAATGAAAACACAGCCCGTATCATTAGCTGTGAGGATTTACATTCAAGATGAACTTGCCAGGAAATTGTTACCTCTGCAAAGGGTGTCTCTGGTCCTGTGGCAACGAAGGGCAGGTATAAAAGGCAGCCCAAGTCCCTGCTCTCTCATTGCCTTCTCTTGCCTCCTTCTCCTTGGGAACCGGGTGAGTCTGAAGCCCCTTCTCCTCTTCCAGAGTGAGATCTCTCCTTGATGGACATCTCAGCTGGTATCACCTGGGTCCTGTCCTCTCCCAAGTTTCTTGTCATGATAGAGGGAAGTGGGGAGAAGATACGGTTAGAGAGATAATGGAACGTGTCTGAGAGGGCTTTTGGTTTACGAATTCAGAGAGAGGCTCCCTGGGCCAGGCTGCCCTTTGTAGGACGATGAAGACCATGTGGCTGCTGGCCAAGCTTCCATCTCCCCACTCAGTAGTAGCTTTGGCTCCTTAGTGACAGGGAAACCAGGCTGCTCCTCACTCACCCTTGTGCTCTGCTTCCTACCTACCATCTCCCCCAGGTTCACCTCCATCCTTGAGACATGTCCTGCTATGACCAGTGCTACCGGCCCTGCGGACCAACCCCGCTGGCCAACAGCTGCAATGAGCCCTGTCTCAGGCAGTGCCAGGACTCCAGGGTTGTCATCGAGCCCTCTCCTGTGGTGGTGATCCTGCCCAGGTCATTCCCTCAGAACACTGTTGTGGGCTCTTCCACCTCTGCTGAAGTTGGCAGGATCCTCAGCTGTGAAGGAGTGCCCATCAACTCCGACTGCTGTGACCTCTCTGGCATTTCCAGCCGCTTTGGTGGCATAAGGTCCCTCCGCGGATAAAGATCCTGGGAAAGCCCCAAGAAGACACCTTAAGGAACTCAGAACATGGTGCTGGGCAGAGGATCGATATTTAGATGTTGTTTTCAAGGATACCTGAACAGCTTTGCCTTTCTTTCCTTTTCCTTGTTTGCTTTGGTTTCACTTGGCAGCAAGACCCCAGCAAGGCCAGCCTGGGTGGGGACCATCTGTCTCCTCTCACTCTATGGGTCAGGTGGGTAGACATCATGGTGAAAATTCTCCACTATCAGGGACGACAGACTCACAGCTGCCCCTGGGGCTCCCTGCACTGCTGTTGTCCACTTGGAGTGACTTTGTTTCCCTCTTTTGACTCATTAAAGTTTTGCTGCATTCAAGCCTGGCCTCCATGTGGTTCTTCCCTCTGTGGACACTCCCCAAGCTGCCAACAGAGAAGGGTGTTTGTCTGCGGTGGAAAAGGTTGAGGGCACAAGGAGAAGGAAAATCATCCCTAGCTGCTCTGCTGCAGTGACCATCAGCCTTTGCCCTGTTGTTTTCCTGCCCATAAATGCCCAGAAAAGCAGAAGGCCCTGAGGGGTCAGCAGGCCCATGAGCTCTTGAGGAAGGGACATTCCTCTTGCTGTGGTTTGAGCTTCACTGGAGTGGCAGGGGTCGGGTGTGGGGCTCTGGAAGATGATCTGCTTTGCAGAATGGTAGGAGTGGTAAAGAAGGGAACAGCCTTTGGGATGGCCCATGGCCGTTACTCCAACTTCCTCTCCACTCCACCACCCAGTCTAGGGGCTGTACTCATCAGGCATGGGCAGGAGTAGCAGGAGTCAAATTGCTCTGTTACAGAGCGTGCACTTCCCTGGGTCCTGGGTGCACTTCTCAAGAGAGCTGCAGGTGGGTGCAGAACTCTTGACTGCTTCATTGGCCAAAGAGCTCATGACTGCTCTTCATAAAAAATGTCAAGTCAAAATCTACCCTCTTTCAGTTTAAAACCCTTACCCCTTGTTCTATCACTACAGTCCCTCCTCAAAACTCTGTCCCTATATTTCTTAGAAGCCCCCCTTTAAGTGTTGATAGGCTGCAACAAGGTCTCCCCAGAGCCTTCTCTTCTCCAGGCCAAACAACCCCAAGTCTCTCAGCCTGTACTCACATGGGAGGTGCTCCAGCCGTCGGATCATCTTCCTGTCCCTCCTCTGGTCTCACTCCAACAGGTCCATGTCCTTCCTGTGCTGAGGACCCCAGAGGTGCATGCAGTACTGCAGGTGGGGTCTCACAAGAGCAGAATAGAGGGTGAGAACTACCTCCCTCGACCTGCTGGTCACACTTCTTTTGATGCAGCTCAGGACACGGTTGGCTTTCTGGGCTGCGAGTGCACATTGCCGGCTCACGTTGAGATTCTCATCTAACAACACTCCCAATTCTTTCTCCTCAGGGCTGCTCTCCATCCTTTCATCTTCCTCCACATTCCTCTTCCCTTCACCACACAATCTAGTGGCCACAGTCATCGGTCATGGGCAGGAGTAACAGGGAAATAGAACCCGTGCTGCTGAATGGGCCAAGGGTAGAAATCAGAGCCAAGTGTGTGGGAGCTGATGACAGTCAGCACAGAAATGGGGACAGTGGACTGGTGTACTTCTGAGGGGGATCAAATTGCTCTGATACAGAGCATGAAGCAGCAGAGTATGAAGACCAGCAAGGATGAGGGGCCTGGGTGCACTTCCCAAGAGACCTGCAGGTGGGTGCAGAGCTCTTGACTACTTCATTGGACCCTCCAGAGATTTTGTGCTCAGGAACTGGCTGCCTTCAGCAGGGCTGGCAGTCCCCGCTCGCTGCCTCTCCAGCCTAAGACGCAGCTGCTCTCTCCAGCCACACAGAGTTCAAAAGGATGGGGTTTGCTTTATGGGAAGGGAGGAATCCTGCCAACTCTTTGCTGGCCACCCTTGAGTGGACCTGCTTCCAATGCAGTGTTGGTGGTGCCTGGTATGGCATACAGCCCCTGCCCATGTCCAAGCCAATGACAAACGTATTTGTGCATTGACCAAGTGCTGTGTGAGGCAAGGGCTGAAACCTTGTCCAGAACAGGTCCTGAATGAAGGGAACATGAGGCCTGATGTTGCCACGGTCCGAGTGGAAGGGCAGACCCTGTGGCTTGCACAGGAAAGCCAAAGAGCTGATGACTGCTCTGCACTTCAGCCCACAAACACCTTCCTGTCCCTCATTGGAATCTCAGTCTGAGTGCCCAGAAACTGCCCCTGGGAGGGAAGGGACATTGCGTTTGAGGTCACATTCTGCTGTCCTGCAGGGAGATCTACAATAGAGCTTCCTTCTGACCAGGACTGTGCACAGGGTGTAAATTCCTGAGCCCTTGTCCCCTCCTGAATCTCTGTCTGCCTGGGCTCAGGTCCAACCTGGAGGCAGTGCAGCCGAGGGCTTTCCCCCTTCCCTTGAGTGTCCTCGGTGAGATCAGGACCAGGGAGCTCTGCTGGGAGAGCTCAGCCAGGGCTGATTTCCCTCTCTGTGGAGCTGCTTCTCAGCTGAGTCTCTAGTGTAGCCAAGGGCCAACCTCATTGCTCTCTCATGAGGCAACAGGCACTGTTGGGCAGGGGATGTGTGTACCTGGAATTTAGCAAGACCTTTGACACCCTCTTCCCATACAGCCACTTCAGGCTGGGGGCTGGCTGTCCAGGAAGCAGATCCACAGAAAAGGAGATGG